CACGTTCTGCCTTATCTCATTTTGCATATCGTTCATGTTGGATTCGTACTCTTGCACTTCATCCTGCAAATACAATCTCAAAGGATCACTTTGAAGTTCCAAAACGTTGAGAATAGAAAATGAATTGATCCTAGGTTACTTTACTGGAGGGCGTCAGCAGAGGCCAGCCCTTCTCCAAGCCTTGCATGACCCCTTACCTCGATTCCATAGTTCTGCGCCCATCTGAGAATGTTCTCCTTCTGCTGTGCAATTGTCGCAGTCCTGGTGGAAATGATTGCCAAATACTCGCTACGAGCTTCTTCAGTAAGATTTCTGAGGTAAGGAGGTGATGAGCGTCCACAGGGAATCCGCACTCCTAATAGTGGAGGAGAATCACAGGGATCGTTTTCTCCTGACCAATCTGGGCCGATTCCTCCTGGTGGTGGAGGTGGAGGGGGTCCATCGAAACCATCTTGTGGTGACTCCCATGAACTTCCGGTTGGAATGTTGTCGTCGCCTCCGAATGGTCCAGGTCTGAACTGGCTGAAAGCGAACGCCAAGACGGGATATGCCTGAAAAACATTTCATATAGATCGCAACTTATTGAAAAAAAAGTAGTTCCAAGTATGGGTATGCCTCAGGATATTGGTCGGTGAGGTTCCTCAAAGCACTCCTTCGCTCCTCACGCGTCTGATCTTCGTCGTCAATTATTGAGGAGTATTCATCCAGAACCTCGCTCAATTGGCCTATGAGTTCGGTCACGTTCTGCCTGACCTCGTCTTGCATATCGTTCATGTTGGATTCGAATTCTTGCACTTCATCCTACAAATAAAACTTCGAAGGTTTGCTTCGATGTTCAGGAACACCGAGACGAGAAAATGAATTGATCCTAGGTGACTCGACTGAAGAGCTTCTGTCACAGACTACCACTTTTCAAGACCATGCATGAGCCTTACCTCTATATCATATTTCTGGGCCCAAGTGAGAATGTCCTCCTTCTGCTGTGCAATCGTCTCAGTTCTGTTAGAAATGATTGCCAAGTACTCGCTACGAGCTTCCTCAGTAAGGTTTCTGAGATAAGGTGGTGGTGCAGGTAGCATACCCATATTACATGGGTAACCTCTACCGGGTAGGTCTACCGGGCGGGACGGGCGGGACACCGCTATACTGGCAATCGCCAGTACAACAATGACCACGTTCATTCTGAAATAGCAGTTTATGTATCGAAGAACCAAAAAGACAAGTCAACAGGAAGGGTTCAGCTCCCATAGAGGGTGTTGCGGGTAGCCGAGTAAGAAATGAAGAGGGTTTTCGGGTTGACGTTTTTATATCCAGCGGTTTTGATGCCGATCTGTGAAAAATCCTCCCACTCTAACAATATGCAGTATTTTTGTGGTGTTATTGTTGTGCTCGAGTCAGTGAAAGCAACAGTTCAATCCATTGGTATTTACAATGATTTACATATGCAGATGATTCACAGGAAACCCTCTTACAGGATGGCTTCCTATTCGAAAAGGATAAAGTTGTTGATAATAAGTTGCAAGAGTCTTTTCTTGCCAAGCCCGTCTCCCATCTGATCGAAACGGCACAACAGGAGAAGGAATGGTGTCAAATCGAGTGTGTGAAGATTCATGGGATGTTTGTAGGCGCTCATATTACCTACTGGATATCCTTGCCGCTTTTAAGAATTATGTAGGAGCAGAAAAGTGCCGCTCCCACAGCCTCCACGAAAAGAAAACTGTAGGGCTTCAAAAGAAGGAGCAAGAAGTTGGAAGAGAAAGGATCTCTATGAATTCAGTTCAAAGGGAATTTGTTTCTCACTTTGTTTTCGCCTTGAAAGCACCTAAAGTGGGAGCCTTAAGTTTTTGGAGCCAAGCTTAAGGATAGGTGGTTTTTAAGGGTATAGACTGTTCCGTCAGGGAATTTTCCCTCATTGAAAGCGAAGTAGCGATGACACATGAAGTGCTCTTTGTCACTGAGAAGAATTCGCTGGGTTCCTCCCAGAAGGGCCTATCCCTCTCGAACACTTTCGAGTTAGATGTGGCAAGATATAGTGCTCAACCCACAAATTCCAAAATCAAACTCACAAAGCAATCACTACCCCGTCCTGCCTGGTTAGATGTTTTCTCACTAGGCACACTGCAAATCTAATCGTTATTCATAGGCGCTCCCAAACAGAAAGCGGACGATATGAATCTTCAGCTCTGGAATATTCTCTCCCACTCCACTTACATCCAGAAGAGAGACAAAACTTTGTCTGAGAGGGGATGAGAGTGAGCGGTACCATCTGGCTCTCAGCCTTATCGAGCATGCTGCTGAGATTTTGAACTTCTCCTAACTGACCCTATCCTTTCTGTAGTATGTGCGGAAAGGTCATAGTTCACCTGTAGGTAACTCTAAGGTCTGTGTTTTTGATATCGGCCACTGTGTGTTATTGGAAATCGCCAGAGTGAAACAACAAAAACACCCGGGTCAGCCTAGTGTCACAGAGGGCGGATTTTTTTCAAACACAAAAATAGTGAATAAAAGCCCTGCCGTGGAAGATGCATCACACAACCCGTTGCCTACGAAGTCGGATCTTTCTAAAGGCTCCTACCCGGACAGCATTTTCGGTGGCTTTTCCATTTTTTCGTATTTACAAAACATTTCAGAATGAATATAGCCATCGTCATATTGGCTAGTGCCATTGTGGTGCTTGGCCAACTGACCGGTAAAGACTCTCCATGTAATCTGGGTGGTAGGCGGCCAGCATCTCCACCGCCATTCTTGAGAAATCTCACCAAACAAGCTCGTAACGAGTACCTTACCATTGTTACCAAGCAAAATGAAACCATAGCAGCACGGAAGGCGGAAATTCTCACATGGGCACAAAAGTATGGAATTGAGGTAAGATTTACAATGATTTTTCAATAACATTCTTCAAATCCCTGGACTGAACCGCTTGAGAGGTCCCTTGCCCATATTATGAGTTAAATTTGCAGACAAAAATTCAAGAATACGATTCCATAATGATGGACACCCAAAGGCAGTTGAAGGAGAACATCACTAATTTCACTGATGACTGGGACACGGTTGTGGAACAGTACTACGCAGTCATGGAAAACGATGAACAAACACCTGTGGAACAAAGAGGAGCTCTGAGGAACTTGAGTGATCAGTTCCCCGTGGTAACGCTCTGCCCACCCTACTTTATTTCAGGAACAACTGGTAACTCCTTTCAGGCTTACGATGTTCTACAGTTCGCCCTAATTCGTTTCAAACCTGATCTGTTCGGTTCCACTCAAGGAGATTCAGTTAGTGTTGAGTGGGGACCGAGAATTCCAAACAATGATGTTGGGAGAATTCGTCCCTCTTCTCCTCCACCATCAGGAGTAATCAGCCCTGGAGGACCTCCGCCGATACCAGATGGAGGCGATCCTTCTGCACCCCTTCCGCCATCAGATGTAACTAGCCCTGATGGCACTCCACCACAAACAGATGGAGACG